CTCTCTCTCCCTCTCTCTTAAAAAAAAATAAAAATAAAAAAAAATAAATAAAATCTTAGAAAATTTATACGATGACTAACAATAATCTAGTTCTCTTATTCCTATCCTTGTATTCCCTCAGGTTAAAATTCATGTTTATTGATTTTTTCATCCAGAATTTAGAGATAGAGAACATTTGAAGYTTTTAAATGTTCTGTAAATTTCAGAGACAGGTACACTGTGCTGTCAGTCCTCCCAACCCCCTTACTATGCAATTCATGATGACAAATAATGGATATCATTGGGAAGTCTTTGGCAAGATATAGATGAGGAACACCCCAAATGATACTGGTATGAATTTCTTTTTTGAAATTTTTTTTTTAGTCATAGATGGACACAATACCTTTATTTTATTTATTTACTTATTTTTATGTGGTGCTGAGGATTGAACCCAGTGCCTCACACATGCTAGGCAAGTRCTCTACCACTGAGCCACAACCCCAGCCCTTGTGGTTTGTTTTAGTTGTCTTTTAATGTACATTCCTTAAACAATCCCCTCCTTTAAAAAAAGTTTATTATACTATAAAAGTAATATAATCTACTGATTATACTGAAAGATCACTGCTAACATTATGAGTTTTTCCTAGAATCATTTGATTATGTATTTTATTTTTTTAAACATTTCCTGGGCCTACACTTAAACTCAATATCAGCTAATAGTCAGCATCCCCCCCCACCCCCCACCCCCCGTGTTTGGAATGGAACCCAAAGCTTTGTGCATGCTAGGTAAGTGTAACCACTGAGTACACCCCCAACCAGCAATTTTCTTTTCCTTTTTTTTTTTTTAAGACGTTGATGGACCGTTATTTTATTCATTTATTTATATGCGGTGCTAAGAATCGAACCCATGCCTCACACATGCTAGGCAAGCGATGTACCACTGAGCTACAACCCCAGCCCCAGGAGTTTTCTTAACTCTGCCTAAATCTCCATAGCTTATTTATTCTCTGTAGTGTTATTATTATCAAGATTATGATGAAACTAACCACAGACAACTATTCCTAGTAAACAGTGGASATGCTCAAATGAATGATTTTCAGATTCACTCTATAGTGTAAGGTCTTCTAAATCTTTCACCATTCATTGTGTAGTTTTTTAATCCTGAGGTACACTGACTGACAAAGACCAATAGCCACACAAAACTGCTGATGGTGAGAACAGGTTGCAGCAATGTGGCTGTCTTTTTAATTGATTCTTTGTTTCTTTTCTTACAGAAAAGGCTTTTAATTCTAGAGGCAAATATCCAATCAGGAGTTAGTGTCAGGCTAAATCCCTGAAAGCTGGTGTAGGAGAGAAGGGATAGAACTCTAGCTTACCTCTTATGAATGATGATAGCAATGTTTAGTTTTGTGCCAAACGATATATATTATAGAACCAGCGAAYTTAATAGTAAAGGGAGATCTTATCAGTCATCGAGCTCAAACCTTTTCTGATGCATGAGTTTCCTTTTTGTTCTGGAAAAGTAGTTGTCCAGCCTTTGCTTGAACGTCTGTCTCCAGTGAGGCCTGATTTCTTACCTGAAAAATTAGGGTGTTATAGTATGACTGCTGAGGCCCTTTGGAGCTCTAACAGTCTTTCTGATGAAATCTAAAGTTCTGTGGCGATGTTATTTTTAAAAAAGCTTCTTCTTTTTTATTACCAAGTTAAATGATACATCAGGTATTTTTCCTTCTTGCTGTAATGGGGATCAAACCCAGGGCATTATGCATGCCAGCATGCACTCTACCACTGAGCTACATCCCCAATACCCCTCTTCCCCTCTATTCTGAGACTACAATTCTTTAGCATACTTAATGTCATCCTACATATTATTACTTCTTATATGATTCTTCTAATAACCCTGGGAGGGAAAGTTTAGAAATGTCTACATTTTTAAGAGACCACTTTACAAACAGTAACTGCAACAGTAGGGGCCTAACTAAGGTGTTGTTCAAACTTTAAGCAGTATTTTCCCTCTTACACCTTAAGACCTATGTTTCCAATAAGCTGTTATTTAGWATACCATTTATCTAAAATATATTCTCCAAATAGACAAACATGCTGTAAGCTCTTCAGATCCTTTCTTCAGCAACTGTTATTTTTGCTTACATTTTTTCACATTTATTAACCATGTCTATTATCTCTTCTTAATGCAYCTAGTAACTTCCCTAAATTATTTTCCTTTCCTTCTCAGAAAGGAAATCCATTTAGCAAAGAACAAAAGAGATTTCAAAGGCCCCAGAAAAATTTTATTTCAGGTGAATATCATCACATAACAATTTCCAGAAATGCATAATACTAAATAAAATAAATTAACCAGGACATGATGGGGAGATACCTTCCATTTCTTTTTAAAAATCATATGCAGATTTGTACCAACTTTGAAGCCAAATCCTAATTCTGCTCAAACTTAGTTTAAAATAAATGATTCTTCTGATGTCCTTGGCCCTATCAATATAATTGCTCCTGGTCTTTGAGGATTGGTACTGGTAATTGGSATCTTATGGTTCAGGCAAAGATCATATAAAACCACTGAGTGACAAGTAGTTGAGGAACAGGATATATCTATGATCTTAAAGCAGCTCCATATCACAGAAAGAAAAGTACTCCTTCATGTTGGAAAGATCATAGTCACTAGTCATATTAACCAAGTAATTAAACCTAGCACCACATACATTGAGTCGTGGCATTAGGTATTTTATGATGGGACCCACTAAGGCACAGAGCATTACTTATGTGGCATTCTTTAAAAAAAAAATGCTCTTTGATCATTAGGGAATAATCAGGAAAATCCACAATACGCAATAACTGAAGAAAACTGGGCTGGTCTTTTAAAAAAATGCAATAAAGAAAAGGTTGATGTAGATTAAGAGACTGAAGAGTGTTGAGAACTATACATAGTGTGTGAACTTTGATTGGAACCTGATCAAAGAAACATTAAACACTTCCTGGATAATTGAGAAATTTGAATGTTATCAAGTATGATAATTTATTGATGTTGTGTAATACAATGTCCTTAAGGAGACACATGCTGAATAAATTGTGGTTAAAGTTCATGTTTGCAACTTACTTGCAAATGGTTCAGCAGAAAAATTTTATCTATATATGCTTGGAGAAAGCGTGGGAAAGAAAAAGCAAATACATATTAAAAAAAGGAAAAAGGGGGGAAAACGCCCTTCTGACCCATTTTTTTTTTTTTTTGTATCAGAGCTATCAGTGTCTTTGAGGTCAAATGTCTAAACTGTTTTTACTAACTTGTTTAATATAACCTAATAGGTATCACATGACCCTTTAAATTATTTGTAGCAGATTTAGGAAGTTATTTTAGTCAGATTTAGGTTGTCTAACAATAACTCTAATAACCCTAACAATGATAACTCATTGTTAACCAGAGCAGTTTTGAGAGATAATCATACTGCTTTCAGACTGGAAAGACTGGCTTCAAGAACTGAGCCTTGGGCACTGGAGGATGACATTAAAGGGATTTTTAAGATCCAAATTATTCAAGTCGTATTAATAAATGTCTTTGTTTAATAAATGCCTTAGAGATAAGAGGGGCAAGATAAGGCCCCCCCCCCTTCAAATTCACACCCAAGTTTCATCCAGAAATTATGGAAGTTAAGTGATCATAAGGTCTCTGGCAGCTCTGACACTGTTATTCTTTTAATACACTTATGCAAACTGTGAACAAATAGGTTCAACAAAAGAGACCAATGTCAACGGGGAAAATGTAACTGACATAATAGTTGTTAATTACTGAAACTCATCAAGATGCAAAAATAAGTGAAATGTTCTCCAAAGCTGTCCCGTAGGTCCACTTTAATTCTATGAAAGTAGGCAGCTTTTCCATCGGACTACATATTTTACTTTGATTAATCTATTTTAAAGCCTACACACAGCAAGGCGAAAAGGGAAGGCTCTAAGCAGTGCGTCTTCGAAAATGAGCAGACAGCCCTGGTAGTCTAGAAAGGACTGGAGTCTAGAAAGGATTTTGCAGTTAAAGGAKGGACTCCAGCATGTCAGCGCAAGGTCGCGGCACAGAAAACCTTACAGCCTAATTCTCTGTCCCCGCAAAAGACCCAGACTCCCAAACCTGAGCTTGAGGTGGCTCGGGGCCTCTGCTTCCCACCCTGGCAGGCTGACGAGGCCGCCGCGTAGGTCCGCACCGGGCCGGACGCGCTGCCCGGGTCTGCAGCCCCCGCGGCCCACACACATCGCGGCCGCTTTCTCGGGGACCCTGCCACCGTTCTGAAGCTGACCTCCGCCCCCCACCCGAGAGCCCAGGATTCTGAGGGCAGAGAAAAGAGACCATACTTAATCACAGGCTCTCGCATCCGACTGGTAAGAGGCTGGGGGGCTGCAATGCAGGCGGAGTCTGGGGGCTGAGAGTCGGGGTCAGGGTGCCGCCGCCGCTGGATCGCACAGAACACGTGGGAGCGGTGATGTCAAACAGTACTTAAACTCTTTGACGCAGATTCTTTACAGCGTGGGGAAATCTAGGGAAAAAATCCAGTACCATAAATGAATTCTGAAATCCACTAAAAATTAACTTCGTGGCTGTATGCTTAACCAACGTCTCTATTCCTGACTGACTCTCCCTACGACCCGAATCTATTGAAGCTSTTTGAAAGACTAATTTACTTAATCCCACGGTCCTAACGGTCTTCAGGAGCTACAGTGAAAATAATCCCTAATAAACACGAGTAGTGTTACCAGTCAGGTCAGGAGCGCTTCAGTCGAAGATGAGTCCCTCGAATTTTAGCCAATATCTTAATCTTGTAGGGAGATGTGCTGTCTTTAAAATAAAAATAAATTCACATCTCTTTTTAAGGTTTTAACAGTGTAAGTTTGTTTCCACCCGGACWGGGATGGAAGGGCACGGGAGAGTACTTGCGTTTTGGTTGGATGTTTTGGACGCTTTTCTTGGCGCGCATGCGTGTTGTGTCTCAAGGGCGGGCTTAAAGGGAAGTGGGTGTTGAAGCTGTTGTCAGATCAGACCACTGACTGCGAGGTTGCCGGGTTTACTGGAGACGCAGACTGAATTTAGGCGTTCGGTGATTGCATCTGGAGGCGTGYGTAAGACTGTCGGTGAAGAAAGCTTTTAATCTTATGTGGGTGATTTTTTTTTTTTTAAACAGCATTTCGATTTTGCCTGCTTGACTCCCTCTTGAACAAATTTTAACCCCGTTTCCACATTTGTTTGTCGTTGCACTGCCAGCCCCCAGGTTGGGGAGGGCATTAACTTTGTTGTTGCTCCGTGGCCATTCTATTGTCATCCCCTTTTAGATTCATTGGCTTGGTGCATTAATAGACTCAGTGAGTTTTATGGCTAAATATGACCTAGTCGTCTTTGGTCCTGGATTAAGTACCAAAAGTTAAGTTCCAGCTTTGTGAGTATTCTCCTTAGACATTTTAATTTTTAAGTTAATGACTGCATATTCATAATCATTTTTGGAATTCACGTTCTTCTTCTTCTTTTTTTTTTTTTTAATATGCCCCTTTTCTCTTCTTGTATTCCCTTAGTCCTCAAAGAGGTGGAAGTTTTATTCAGGAGTCTTATGAACACAGAAGAAAGTTCTTCCATTCAGAATTGTGGGACTAGGTTTCTTGCTAACAATATGAAAAGCTCCGAGTTTAGCCCGGGAAAGAAAAAAAGGGTTAAAATGCCCKCGAGGAGACTTCGTGAGGTCCTTTCTCCGAATCAGGAAGACAATTTGGCTTTGTGGAAAGATGAGTTGCCCCGTGTTTGTCCAGTGTTGTCTGCAAATAAACGTCCTCCTGTTCGAATGGGGACTAACATGAATGGAACATTGCATGGTATGTTATTCCATATACTGTAGTTTTTCAGCCAGTTTTCTTTTTTGTAAAACTTAATCTTTATTTTGGTTATTGTGCATCAAAATATAGGGGATTCTTAATGTTTAAAATCAAAAGTGTAAGATATTTCCGGCTTATACCGATGTTTAAAAACTGACCCTGTTCCCTGGGAAAATRGCCAGGCATAGAGGGTCCACAAAATGAATGGTTTCGGTAAATGAAACTTTAACTTTTCCTATTGTGCTTTTTCTTCGTGTCATGTTTGCACATTATTCTTGTTCACATTTATGTTAGACATGCTTAACTTGTATAATAAATTAAATTTCCCCCAGTAGTGCTCTTTACCAAGTGCTCTACAGTACTATCCACTTTGGCATAGCATAAACACAACTTAAGTCATTTGATGAYTTCTTTGTTTCAATTCATTTATCCTGTCTGGAGCTCAGAGAAAATGAAAACATTATGCTTTTACACACTTTACTATAAATTCTACTGGTTATTGTAAGGATAAAATTAATGAATATAAGCTGGGTGCAGTGGCACACACCTTTGATTCCAGCCTCTCAGGAGGCTGAGCAGGAGGATGGCAAGTTTGAATCAGCCTGGACAATTTAGCAAGACCCTGTCTTAAAATAATAAAGGGCTGAGGATGTAGCTTAGTGGTAGAGCGTCCCTAAGTTTAATTCCCAGTACTGTCAAAAATAAATAAATAAATAAATAAATAAATAAACAACAAAGTGCTTTAATTTTATTTTTATTTTTGCAATGCTGAGCATAGACAGTTGCTCATCCCAGGCAAGCACTCTACCACTGAGATATATCCTCAGCCCTTCAAAACACTTTTATAATGCTGGGGTTTTGGAGGTACAGCAATGGCACCATAACAGGCTTCTGTTAAATCAGGCTTTTATATCATGTTCATATTTTGCTCCTGGTAAATCCCATAGTTTGCCCATATCCAATAGTGAACTGATTTTTTTTTCCTTTTTGTACTGGTGATTGAACTCAGGGGCTTAATCACTGAGCCACATCCCCAGCTCTTTTAAAAATTTTATGCAGAGTCACGGTCTCACTGAGTTGCTGAGGGCCTCACTAAATTGCTGAGGATGGCTTTGAACTCGTGATTCTCCTGCCTCAGCCTGTGGAGCTGCTGGGATTACAGGCATGTGCCATTGCTCCCAGCTTAAACTGATGTATTTTAAAACATTTTATACTTATGTCTCTTTATTGTTCATACGGACTCCTATTTTCCCTAATTATTTTTTCATCTAAAGTATCTGTCAAATATAGAGCTTATAGTTCTTGAATCATGCCTATAATTATAGGTAAGCTACTGTTTTTAAAAACACTCAAATTRATTCCTTTATTTTGTTAGGTTCTTCGGATATAACTTCTTCTAGAAAATATCACAAGCCTCCGTTAGAAAATTCTGCTATATCAGAAAGTGTAAGCAAGAGTCCTTAAATATGTTAATCATGTTAAAATTTTCATTATTGTCAAACAGTATGTTCTTATGTTCAGTTAGCAACATGCCTTGTTTTTCTTTATCATGTCTGAAGAGAAATGTTTTATATACTACAATTGGAACTTGAATATGTTTGAGATATTAAATATGTCTACTGGATTGTTAGCCTCATTGTTTATTTTTTAGAAAGTTAACACCTGCTAACTTTCATCAGTGGCTATCCTTGAACAATTTTTTTTGTATGATATTTTTCCTTTCCCCTTTCTGATTTATCAGGAAAAAAAAAAAGGGTGAAGGACAATACTGAGTTAATCTAGTACTGTAAAAGGTCATTGTGTTTTAATGCTGAATAGAGTCCTAGAGATGAAGTCTAGAATTGCACACATGAGCAGAAAGCTATTTGCCAGTAGGTGTCAGAGAAGCTTTCTGAGACTACATAAGAGCTCAGTAAAAAAAGAGATCAGTGATTAATTTGTGATGTTTTGTCATTCATTGATCATTCTTATCTACTCCATTTGATTAACAAAGAGTCAGATTTTCACATTTGAACTGAAGCAACTGAGATGTTAAATATTTATTTATTTAGTTGTAGTTGGACACAATACCTTTATTTTATTTATTTATTTTTATGTGGTGCTGAGGATTGACCTAGGGCCTCACACGTGTTAAGCAAGCACTGTACCACTGAGCCACAACCCCAGCCCCAATAATTTATTTTACTACAAGTGGCAAATCAAGAATTGAGTCTGGATCTCAGTGCCACATTCGCTTGTTTGCCCATTTGCTCATTTATTCACTTCTCTGACAGTATATTACTATTTTTTTTTTAAAGAGAGAGGGGGAGAGAGAGAGGGGGGGAGAGAGAGAGAGAGAGAGAGAGAGAGAGAGAGAGAGAGAGAGAGAGAATTTTAATATTTATTTTTTAGTTTTCGGCGGACACAACATCTTTGTTTGTAGGTGGTGCTGAGGATCRAACCYGGGCCGCACACATGCTAGGCGAGCGCGCTACCGCTTGAGCCACATCCCCAGCCCCTGACAGTATATTATTGACTCATTGAACAAATCCTTGGGTAGCTTCAAAGTACCTAAGCATTGTGTAGTGCTGGGGATGAAATATACAAAACACACTCCCAGAGCACAGTAATCACAGTTAGTAAATGGTATTGGTAAGGAATAAATCGTAAAGTTTATTTAATTTTTCACTTTTTCCTCTTATATCCCAAAGGATTTTTCTAAAGATGTTGTAGTGCAGAGGTTACCTTTGGATAAAACAGAAGAGAGCAACAGACAAAACGGTAAAAGAATAGAATTGACATTTCTTACTGTGGTAAAATATACATAAACTTTCCATTTTAACCATTTTAAAATATATAGTTTGTGACATTAAGTATCTTTACATTGTTGTGCAACCATCGTCACTGTCTATCTCCAGGACTTTGTTTTTTTAATCTTTCCCAACTGAACTCTATGGCCATTAACTACTAATTCCTGCCTCTATGAATTTGACTATGCTAGGTACCTTGTATAATTGGACTTATTCAGTATTTATCCTTTAGTGTTTGGCTTATTTCTCTTAATGTATTGTCTTCAATATTCATTCTTTTTTTTTTGCATGTGTCAATATTTTCTTTTTAAAGGTAAAATTGATTTCTGGATATTCATTCAACAAACAGGTTTTTTATTACTGTTACTATTATTATTATTTTGAGTGCTGGGAATTAAACTCAGGGCCTCATGTATGCTAGGCAAGCACTCTACTACTGAGCTATACCATGTTATTTTAATTTTAATTATTCTCCCAAATTAAGTTATTAATACACTCAAAAATCCAGAAAAGTGTCTGCAATAGTAAAGATTATTTTAGTATTACCAATCTATTATACAGGTTTGGTATTGGATATACATTTATTATTATTTATTTATTTTATTTTTTGTGGTGCTGGGGATTGAACCCAGGGGGGCTTTGTGCATGTGAGGCAAGCACTCTATCAACTGAGCTATATCCGTAGCCCCCATTTATAATTTTTTTTTATAAATTTAGAACTCAGGTTTTGTAGGGTCAGATAATAGATTAAAAATGTCCTTCAAAAAGTTTTATTTATTGACAAATTTTAAAGCAATTTTTTTTATTCTAAGTAATATTAAAATTTTATCAAATTTTCCTTGGTCTTTTGTAGTGGAGATTGAACCCAGGGCGCTTTACCATTGAGCCACATCACCAATCCTTTTTTTTTTTTTTCCCAAATGTTTTTTAGTTGTCAATGGACCTTTATTTGTTTTATTTTTAAAGATTTATTTATATGTTGTGCTGAGAATTGAACCCAGTGCCTCACACGCTAGGCAAGTGCTCTACCACTGAGCCACAACTCTAGCCCCTAGTCCTTTTAATTTATATTTTAATTTTTTTAAAAAAATATTTTTTAGTTTTACCTGGATGCAGTATCTTTAATTTTTTTTTTCTTTTACTTTTATGTGATGCTGAGCACTGAACCCAGTGCCTCACATGTGGGAGGCTAGTGCTCTACTGCTGAGCCATACCCCAGCWGCCTATATTTTAAATTTTGAAACAAGGTCTCCCTAAGTTGTTGGGGCTGCTATTGAACTTGTGATCCTTCTGAACCTCCTGAGCCTTCTTTTTCTTTCTTTTTATTTTTAAGAAATCTTTTCCATGTGTAAGATTTAATTCTCAAGCATAATAAAAACAATTCTCTATAACACATGCTCTTCTCTATATAAATCTGGTCGAAGGAGAGATTCATATAACGTAATATCAAATATTTACTTTGGTTTGCATAACAATTATAACACCTTCAATTTTCTCAGCATTTTCTTTTTTTAAAAAAATGTGGCAAAGTACATATAACATGACACATCTCATCTTGACTATTTGTAGATGTCCTTGTTTCTCAGATATTTTTGATACAAATTTTTCTAGTGTCTAGGGTTATGACTATTCTTGCCTTTTTAAAAAAATATTTACTTTTTAGTTGTAGGTGGACACAATATTTTTATTTCATTTTTATGTGGTGCTGAGGACCAACCCCGTGCCTCATGCATGCCAGTCGAGCGCTCTATCACCTAGCCACAACCCCAGCCCCTATTCTTGCCTTTTTAAATTYAGAAATCCTATTATTAAATCCTAAACATCCCCCCACCCCCAATAAATACTTATGATTGAACCTAGGATATCAAGCTTGCTAGAATGAGCTCTTCATTGTTGAGTCTATCCCTAGCCCTTTCAGAAAAGTTTGTTTTTAGTTTGGGACAGGTCTTATTTAAGTTGTCCTGGCTGGCCTTGAACTTGCAATCCTCCTGCCTCAGACTTATGAGGAGCTGGAATTATAGGYACATACCATTGCATCTAGTCCTAAACATTTTTTTTTAAGTTGTTGATGGACCTTTACTTTATTTATTGATATTTGGTGATGAGAATCGAATCTAGTGCCTCACAAATGCTAGGCAAGTACTCTACCACTGAGCTACAACCCTAGCCCCCTAAATATTCTTTTAGTTTTAAAAAGTGGGGTTTTTAAAGCTGATTATGGTGGCATACCCCTGTTATCCCAGCAACTTGGGAGCCTGAAGCAGGAGGATCACAAGCAGGAAGATCACAACCCYAGCTCCTTTGTTATTTTTTTCATCAGTATGGCTAGAATGAGACCAGCCTAGGCAATTTAGTGAGATCCTGTCTCAAAATAAAAATAAAAAGACTGGGGGTGTGCCTTGGTGGTAGATGGCCTCTGTGTTCAATCTCCAGTACCAAAAAAAAAAAAAAAGGTCAGGTTTTGTGAGTGGCTTATTAAAATTTAATGAATTTTTGTTATCTTAATTTTGCAGCAAATGATATCTGTATTTCTCAGTATACCATGGGACAGAAGGATGCTCTAAGAACAGTTTTAAAGCAAAAGTAAGTTTCATTTACAGAAAATAGTTGTACCATGTTTGTGTTTCAAATCAACTTCCCTTATACTTTGGAAATACAAAAACCTCTTCACTACATAATGTATTGTGTGATGATATATAAAGCATTTCTCATAGTTCTGGGCACTTAAGTACTCAATAGCTATTAGTTGTTGTTAYAGAAGAGGTTCTGTGCTAAGTGTGTTATTATATTAACTCATGTAACACTCTCAAATCCCATGAAGTAGATTCTGTTATAATCCCAATTTTATTGAACACGTGAATATGGATAACATAAATCCTGTGACAGAGATTCTGTTACATCCCAGTTTTACAGAATCCCCATTTTATGGATGAGGAAACTGAGACATTGAGCTTTTCCCAGGGTCTGGCAAATTGTTACTGGGCTGGCATTTAAACCCAGGCATTCTACCTTTAGAGCCTGYATTCTTAACCAAATCATGATACTGCTTGTAGCAGTGGTAAAGTAGTTCCTTATACATAATACTTATTATTTACTATCAAAGAACCTTTAGGTTTTTTCGTGRTCAAGATCTGAGGAAGAAGCAAACTTCATACCTTGATGGAACGAAATACAAAACCAACCTGACGAGAACTCATGATAAACATGTAGCAAGAATACATCTACTAGTATGAAGGCAGTTTTTGTTATTTTATTTTGTTTATTTTAAAAAAAWTTTTTAGTTGTAGATGGACACAATACCTTTATTTTAATAGGTGCTAAGGATTGAACCCAGGGCCTTGCACGTGCTGGGTGAGCACTCTACTGCTTAACCACCAGGCTTGCTCCCCAAATGCAGCTACTTTTAACTGTTACCTATTTCTTCTAGATAGTATTTCATAAATTAAAATTATATGCCTATGTTCCTATTCTTGATTTATTAAATTTAGACTATACTCATCCTCATATGATARTATTTAGCTGTCTTAAACTACTCTCTCCCATCCTTTTATTGTAGTTATCTAATACTTTTAATTAAATCAACCATTGATTATGTGGACATTACGCACTATATTAAGTGGAACAAGAGCCACAGATTTACAAATACTGTTTTGTTTAAAAAGTTTTAGTATTTACAAAAGTAGAGAGGATAATTTAATGCACYGCCATACTCCTATTGTTTAGCTTTAGTTGTTAGCATTGTTTCATTTTAACTTCCCCTCACTCCCCTACCCAAGTATTATTTTTAAACCTATCTCAGAAGTAATTTCATTTTATCTGTATTTTAGTAGGTGTTTCTAAAAGATTAGTATTTTTTCTWTTTCTTTTTAAAGTTTGTTCTCAGGCTGGGGTTGTGGCTCAGCGGTAGAGCACTTGCCTAGCATGTGCGAGGCCCTGGGTTTGATCCTCAGCACCACATAAAAAGGAATAAAGGTATTGTGTCCAATTACAACTAAAAAATAAATATGAAAAAAAATGTTCTAATTAGTTATACATGACAGTAGAATGTATTTTGATGTAAAAGATTAGTTTTTAAAAAGGCAATGCCACAATACTATTAATATACCAAAGACATAATACTGGCTATTTCTTAATATTATCAATCATACAGTTAATATTCAAGTTTCTCTGATTGTCCCATAATTTTTTTTTTTGTTCATTTCTTTGTATCAGGATCTAAAAAAGGGCCACATGTTGCATTTGATTGATGTGTCTGTTTTTTTTTTTTTTTTTTTTTTTTTTTGGTACTGGGTATTATTTCAGGAGCACTTGGCTACTGAGCCACATCCCCAGCTATTGTGTCACATGACTAAACTGGTCACTCCAGCTGAATTTGGGGAATAAATAAAGATACAGACATAGAAAGTACCTTTTCTTTAAGTTCAATGACCGCTCCTCAGCCACAGCTCCCACAAGGGCAGTGCAGGCAAGAAAGAGAGCTAGGAGCACATGCTGAACCCTTTTATTGGGGAGAAGCCATTCAAATGAGGCAAGGGGTCAGGTTTCACGGGGTTGAGTCTAACTTCCTGATGTCTTGCTGTCAGCAGGTTAACTGACATCTAGGAAGCCCACGCCCATCTTATGTGCTGTGTGGGGATCAGAGGCAGAGGCAGAGGCAGAGCCAGCACAGGGAAAAGATGCTTACTTTCCCTGTCCAGAGGGGCAGCGTTGGTTCAGTCCACTTTGTGTGCTCAATGCTCATAGTTGACACACACACAGCCTATGGCTGGTTTGCCAGTTCTCCACATTCTCATCGATGAAAGCCAAGGGGCACTTGGTTCCTATGTGGCATTTATTTATTTTAGCCCTACTTTGTATTTTATTTAGAGACAGGGTTTCACTGAGTTGYTTAACACCTCGCTTTTGCTGAGGCTGGCCYTGAACCCAGGATCCTCCTGTCTYAGCCTCTTGAGCTGTTGGGATTACAAGCGTGTGCCACCACTGTGCCCAGGGATAAATGTGTCTTTTAAGTCTGTTTTATTTATTTATTGCTTTTGTGATGCTGGGGAATTAAACTGAGGGCCTCATGCATACTAGGCAAAAAACCTGAATAAGCTGGGTGAGATGGTGCACTCCTGTAATCCCAGCCGCTCTGAAGGCTGAGGCAGGAGGATCTTAAGTTCTATGCCAGCCTCAGCAATTTAGCAAGACCCTAAGCAACTTAGCAAGACTATGTCTCAAAATAAATAAAAAGGGAAGGGGTGTGACTTAGTAGTTGACCACGTCTGCATTTAGTCCTCAGTACCATAAAAATTAAATGAACAAACAAAACTTGAACAATAGAGAAAAGGCAGGGAAAAGAGAAGAAATCAATTATACCAGATAAAAATGAATCCAATAAAGTAAAAAACATACACAGTAAAATGTTTTTAACTGGTTCTTAGAAGTTTAGAAGTATAAGCAACTTCCTGACAAATTTAGGTCAGAAAAATGATGGTAGAATACATGAATTAGAGATAAAAAGAGGACAAATAATAGATTTAGAGGAGACAAAAACAAATGAGAGTACAATGTAGTTATATGCCTCAAGTTTAAAATTCTAGATGAAATTAGATGATTCACCAAGAATAATCATAGAGCTAGATTTTAACAGACCAATTGCTAAAAAAATTGAAAATGCTTTAAAGAATAAGCCTTCTAAAACAGTGATGATTCTGTTTGAATTCTTGGAAAAATATTAAGAAACAGATTACACTTATGCCATTCTGCTCCAGTACAGAGAATGCTATCCATGTCATTTCCTGAGGCTAACCTAACCCAAATACCCAAAGCTAAAATTTAGTTTTATCCTAAGTGTTTTTGTTTCTATCATGGTAATTTTTCCAAAAAGTTCTTGTAATAAAATCATTAAATCAACTATTCATCTGATAGCTAAAGATAACAATTTTATTGATGTGTTATTTCTCAAGTTATAAATARGGTATGTCTTTTGTGTTAGAAGATCAAAACATAATAATGAAATAGAGTTTGGCTCAGAAATGCAGCAATGTTTTAAAAATAATAATTGAATTTTTTTAAGGTACTAAGGATTGAACCCAAGATTTCACAGATGCTAGACAMGTGCTCTGCCACTGAGCTACAACCCAGCCCACTTTTAATTTTCACTTTGAGATGGGGTTTCACTAAGTTGCCCTGGCAGGCTTCAAACGTGGAGTGCTCCTGCATTAGCTTCCCGAGTATCTAGGATTATAGGCTAATGYCAGTATACCTGGAAATAATTTTGAATTCTAATATAGCAGTTATTATGCTCTCTGCATTGGTTTCTCGTTTTAATCTTTACAAAAGCCTGGAATGTCTTAAAATGTTCCCATATTAAAAATGAGGTTCAGGCTGGGGTTGTAGCTCAGTGGGAGAGCTCTTGCCTAGAATGTGTGAAGGTTAGATTCTCAGCATTACATAAAAATAAATAAGTAAGTAAAATAAAAGTCCATCAACAACTAAAAACAAAACAAAACAAAAAAGAGGCTCAGGCAGTTTTAAGCATTGCCTCACTAATAATTCATGATTCATTATATATTTATCATTGGAATAAATAAGAAAATATGTATGACAAGCACTATGGATCACATTTAATAAAATTGTCATGCTCATTTCTTACTTACCTTACCATGCACACAAACCTCTTTAAAATTAACAATAGAGTGATAGATTCAGATTCTTAATATGAAGAAAATAGTTAATATCCTGTTTAATAGTAGAATTGAGAGCTCATTGTCTTTTTGGTTTGGTGGTACTGGGGATGGAACCCAGGGCTTCAWGCATGTTAGGCAAGCACTCTCTCACTGAGCCACATCCCTAGCCTTCATTGTTTCTTTTTGTTATGTTTGTTTATAATTTGGAAGTCCTATCTGTGGCAATTAGAAAATAAAATGAGATCAGGTATGGATATTGGAAAAAAGGAGGAAAAATTTACATTGTAGAAGATATTCTGTACTTAGAACAAAAAAAGTTATAAATATTCATGATTAGAAATCTGTAGAAACTATGTGAGGAAGTATGAAACTTTCCTTGGGAACTGACAAAGGCTAGGATATATTGAGATACTCAACATGTTCTGGATGGGAAGACTTAATACTATAAAAGTCCAAGTTTGTCTAAAATTAGCTTATAGGTTTTGCTATAGTCATTGAATTTTGTTTTAGAATAATTGGTAGATGGAATTTAGCCAASTAATTTTAATGTTTACATGGAAGAACATACAGCTGAGAAAAAGTATATGTGTTTATCTGTTTTTATGTGTGCCTGAAAATTCTGTTTATTTTTCCAACRTTAATTTTCCAAAATTATTTAAAAATTAATTTTCTAAAAGTATCCTAGCTATTCTCAACTGTACATATTCTTTATGTTCATATTCTTTGTTTTTGGTGCTGGGGATCAGACCCATGGCCTCATACATGCTGGGTAAGGGATCTTTGACTGAGCTATATCTCCAACCCCTATMTTTATGTAACTTAACTGTAGAGTTGTGACAAAATGGAATGATGTAGTACTTGTCCTATTTGATATTATCATGTGCTTTAAAACTGTAAATAATGCAAGGTAAT